GTGTGTGTGTGTGTGTATAAGCACACAGAAACACACATACTTCCGCCACCTCTGTTAGGAGCTTGTACATGTGAGGAGTGATGAGTTTCTTATCTGGGAAAAGCAGCCATCCTCAAACAGCTGCTTGATATACAGTTCTTGAGGATCCTTGACCTGCTAGATAAACTGGAAGAGACGGCTAGATATGCAATGTCAGGAGAAGGGGGAAGTGTACCTGGCCCCATCCGTTCTGTCTGCCAACTCCAGACAGCCTACACTTTTCATCTAGGTCTGACGTTACTTTATTACCCACTCTCCAAGATTGAAGATTCAGGATGCAGATAAGACATTTTTACAATTAAGTTGGTGTCAGGCCGAAGCGTCATATGCTTTAAAGTGATAAATAACGTTTGATATTTGTCACAGCATCACGTGGTGATGTGAGGTGACAAGCAGAGATTGAGTTATCTGCCTTATGAAGAATATGTTGAAGTATAATATCTGACAGAATTCAAATTTGAAGCAGGAAATTCAATTAACTTCCAGCTTCTGTTAGCAAATTAGATTTTGAATATTAGCAAGAGTTCCCTCAGGGTGGCATAGTAAGACAATCTTGTTTTAGCTGCAAAGATAGAGTCAGATGTGCTCCTCTAGATTACTTTTAGCCACCTGGAACACTTAGAGAGTTGCACTGACTTTTAGAAATTGATTTAAAACCAATATCGCAATTTTTCATACTGTGACCAATTAATATGTAAATAGATTATTTTAACTTTATCAGTCTGGCACGTAGATATCAAACATTATTTGAACTAATGTATCATAAATATTTTTTGACATTTATTTTATTTTTGCAAGTTACAAAGGGCAGTGTGTTCTTATAGTACATTTTGTTCTAGAAAGTGGCTGCAAATTTACATTTTACACCATTCCTATACCAGGGGACAATAACATATATCTTGACATAATGTCAGTGTAGCTTTGTTAACCTTGACAGACTATATTCTTTGTGGATCTATTAGACTATTTTCAATTCTCCTTTAATAGCACCATCCATGGCTACCTAGCAGGGAGCCTCATCTGTCCGCAGTTAGGGAATGGACTGCCTTCAAGTGCTTGCCATGATTTACTACACTCCTCCAAGGGAGCAGAAATATATCTCTCAGCTGTCCACTAATATCTTTATGCACTCAAGTGTGTTGAATGAAGCCATAACATTCTTCAGTGTGACAAATGCTCCATTAGAGGGTATATATTATTCTGGCTTTATTCAAGTAAAACATTCTCAAATGCTATTAGTACAATGTCAGACATCACTTTTGGCAGTGGATACTGTACCGAAAACCATAAATATAAAATGAACTTCACACTATGTTTTTCTCTTTTCCTTTTTTCAAATCTCAAATTAGTCCAACTGTGCCCAATATGCCGCTGACAGAAAAGAAGAAGAGAAGATGTGTGACCACCTGATCAGTGCTGCTAAACACAGAGACCATGTGACAGCCAACCAATTAAAGCAAAAAATCGTCAACATCCTCACCAACAAGCACGGTGCCTGGGGGACACTGGCCCAGAGGTAAGGTTTCACCTTCAGACCAACGTGGGCCATGTTAAGTCTTTAACATGAACCATTGCTGCTCCAGGTTAGAGGACAAAAGTTACCTGTTCACAAAACTCAGCAGTGATGGGATTGGACCACCAGTTAATGTCATTTTCCCAGGATCCGATAGGGTCAGCGATCGGGTCAGCAAACGCAATTACAGTGTGGAGTGGCTTAATCCCCTGGGGACAGCTGATTGGCCGGTCGTCCAACAGACCTGGATAGAGGAAGGGGAAGAAGGGGGTTGGGGTGTTTCTGCAGTGTTGTCCAGGCATTCATTGACCCTCTCAGTAACACAGCCCAGCACCTGGTGGTAGTTGCAGACTTCCCCATGGGCCCTGTTAAAATAACCTCCGGCTCTCCTGCTCTGCCTCCCACCTCTCGCCTGCACCCACATGGTCCCACAGATACAGAATGGAGTGGCAAGATCAAGAGCTAGTTATATTAGACAAACAGAAGCGTAACAACATACTGTTTGTATTTTATACTGAGTTAAGAGCTGAGAATTTGAACATATATCTTTTGTTCACAGCATACAATTGTTATAAAGACATAGCTGGGAAGCTTTAGTCGCTGCTTGCAGGTGAAGCTGTATTGGGATTATTTTGAGACTCATTACTGTTTGTAAAAGAAACATCATATCACTGCATACAGGTCAGATGTAGAAATAAGTAGAAGGATACAGTGTTTACTCAAACACTGATATAAATTCTTATGTTAATTGTGACTGTGAGCTGCAAGACCAGGCACTGAAGAGAAAGTCTGCCACTTTTACACAACCCACTGCTGATGATTTGCCAAAACAATTTTTTTCATCTTTGCTGAAACAGTAGCTTTGGTTTTGTTATTAAATTTCGAAAATACAATGCAGATGTTCAGCCTTGTTCACTGAAATTGGGTTGTTTCATATCTTAAACCATGTTTACCGTTGTCAAGAAAAGTATTGTAGCTGGTGTAATTACTTTTTACGGCTACATTTTATGTCTTTGACTTGCAGTAAAGTTCAAAGAGTTTCCATCCAAAACAGCAGATGTCATAAGCAGCTACATTTGGTTTCTTTTTTTCATGGATTCATAGGAGCTTAGTGCTCTCCTGCGCCCTAGTCACTCCGTTTTCGACAAGAACGCATTCATGTTTACGTCTCCGCAATTTACATTTCAGAACTACTTCATTGCGTAACAAAATTGTACTTATTACTCAACTTACAGACTGTTGTCAACATCGACACCAATCATTCTTGGCCGTGATGAAAAGCGTTACCAGTAACCTTCCAACTACAGATTTTAATCTCACTGACTGAATCCTTCAGCGACATGCCTCACAACACACATGAACCACACACACTTCTCACCCCATTCCGGAACCCCACCCACACACCACACAAAACCCCAAAACACTTGGATTTCTTCTTAAGCACACATCACTCACACCAACACACACACTCGGCTCTTTCACTACCTCCTCACTGGTCTTAATGCATATTCATAAAACCAAACAAATCTTATTAATTGTATACCAGCTCTCACACACTCACACACGACTGCCAGGGCACACACACATCACACACAACACACAATCACATTTCACTACACACCATAACCAACACTCTAACACATACACATCTACGCACACACACTGGAACCTGAATACACCACTCAGGGCGTTGAATTCACTAAAAAATCTTCAAAATATCTGATTCTTATTGTAAGTGTAACTCGCATAAACTTCTCAACATACACTGATGTACCCACCACAATAAATCGCACTGGTGACAATACACGTCTAAATTCTGGTCGTGTATCTGGCTTCACCCCTACCACCGCACACTCCTGGATGGGCATTCTGCGCCCTTCATCGCACTGACAACAGTACACCATACAGTCGCATCACGTTTAACCTCCATCGTCGGTGCACACCACCGACGGGCCACCTCGTTACAACACTCATCGTAACCAGCCCAGGGACTTCTCGCCATGCCTTCCTCTGAGCTCTTTGAAGAGGCTTTAAAAAGACACAGGGAAACAGAGCAGAGAGGCTGACGTGAGGGACAAGGAGCATGTGATCTCCGTCTGCAGTAAATCGAGCATGAGTTTGATGCTAACCTCGTCCTCCGCCGTGCCATCTGCGAACACACTAGAGGCAGAGTCGCCACCAACAGCGGCCAGCAGGAGAGAACGTCGGGTCTCTGAAAGCAAGTGACATGAATCTTCCTCTTGAGGATCAGAACAAGAGCGCTCCAACTCGCGCAAGAAGCGGTTTAGAGGGACCAAGATGTGGATCTCATTTTACTACTGTAATTGATCCCATATTTCTTTTTTACTCTTGTCTCTACTGTTGGTACTAAGCACCTCCATGCAAACCATAAGTTCAATTTTAACTCCGCCACCACCGTTCATCTTAACTCAACAACATTGTCTGAATACTGATTTACAGTCAAACATTTACACAGTAAAACCTACTCCAACTTTGTGTTACAAAAAGTAAGCATAACCAAGGTGATACTGACTAAATTTTGGGCATTTTTATTACCAACAAAGCAAGTAACAAATACAAAAAGGAATATCCTCTCTGTAACTTCTGTCATTAAAAAAATATAGCTAAACCAGCTCCATCAAAGAATCTCTTTTAAACTCTAACAGAATTTAGTTTGTTTCTACTTACAAATCTCAATGCTAACACCTTCTTGTGACTGCTCTGTCCTCCTCCCCACATTCT